TCCATAAATCAGAGAATATAAATAACAAATCAATCCCTTAAACCAATGAGGGAATTGTTTTGGAATTTTTTGCTCGTGTACTTTATATTTGTACCATGTCATGGTACACTCATGTATTTTGACTTGTATTTTGACACCGGTCAAAATACAAGGGTTTAAGGGATTGATTTAAGGTAAAAATACAAGGGTTTTAAGGGATTAAAACACCGGTTCACTTTATAATTGTTTTGGAATTTTTTATTACCCTTCTATTTTGACCGGTGTACCATGCGTACCATGTCATGGTACACTCATGTGTATAATGAAATTTTTTTTTTGATGCAAAAGAGGGTAAATACCCGAACAAAGAAAAACAATTACACCACCAAATGTTGCAAAGCCACTCCTACCATGTCCTCCCAAAGAATGTTCTTTATTTTGATCGGAGGATCATCGAAATAAATCACACTCTATTGAAGGCCAACCCCTACATTAGCGAGTTTATTCACCACCCTATTCCCTTCCCTAAAACAATGATGAATATTAAAAAAAGAACCAAAAAAACGGCAAAGACTACGACAATTGTTGATGATGTGCACGCATTCCCCCTGTTGTGGTTTTCATTGATAATGGCCTTAACACATGCTTTATTATCCATCTACGCTACAAGCCTCATGATGCCTAGTTGCTTTGCCAATTTTAGTCCATGTTTAAGAGCTAAAAATTCAGCTCTATAAGCATGACATATGCTAAAATTAGCAGCAAAACCTTTGATAAACTGACCTTCATCATCTCGAATAACACCACTACCACCAGCTAAACCCGGAGAACCCTTGGCTTCCCCATGTGTGTTCAAAGTACACCAGCCAGGAGGTAAAGCAATCCAGCGAACCTGAACCTCTTTTCTTACAGCAGCATTTTGGTGTAAACCTTGGTATCGATCCTTGGGTGTAGAGAAAACATCCCAAATTTCTCCTGTTTGGCCTCGAATGAAAGCTCCTGTATCAAATGGATTTTCATTTTCTTTCCCAAATACAAAATTATTCCTCCAACGCCATATCCACCATAGAGATGTAGCAAAACAGGTAGGCCATTTAGCAGAAAATTGAGGCCTGCAGCTTCTAAATTTCGAACAATCCATTGGCTTAGATCACCATTGAAAAAAGATGGGTGTAAAGCATCACAACCAACACTCATCCAAATAGCACGAGAAATAGGACAATCCCGCAAGAGGTGGAGTAGAGTCTCATCAGCTCCCAGGGTGCATCTTTGACAACTAGCATCTTCAGTTAAATGTCTTTTGCGACGAATATCATTGCATAGAATTCGATAATGTAAAGCAAACCATAAGAATGTTCTGACCCTCTGCTGCACTGGTGTCTTCCAAGCCAAATCCCATTTTGGATCTCTCGGGATAACATCATCATCACGCCTTAATTTCATAGCATGTTTGACAGAGAATTTGCCACTGTTTGAACCCCTCCAGTATCTCAAATCAGCTACTGCCGGCTCTTCAATAAGGGAGTGTGCAGCGATTAATTTCAATAAGGGAGTGTGCAGCGATTAATTCCCATCTCCAACCTTTCCCCTGTTCCCACATTTCCTCCACTATCGCATCCTCGATTGAACTAGGGATAGCTGAAGTAGCAAGCTCACGGAGAGGCTGCTGTGTTGCCCAACAATGCTAAAAAAATAATGTTGTTCAACCATTACCTATTGCCACCTGTGAGCCCTTCTTGATCCAAGCCGCATTATCAGTGATGCTGCGCCAAACATTAGACATACAAGAGGTAGGCACAAACATATAAATGTCACATCTATCCCGGCAATACTTGCCTCGCAGAACCCTTGACTAAAGTGCTTGTGGTTCCGAAAGTACTCTCCACCCAAGCTTGGTGAGGAAAGCAGAATTTACTTGTCTAGTAGAGCGAATGCCGAGCCCTCCCTTGTCCCTAGGAAGCTGAAGCATGTCCCATGACAGTAAGTGGATTCTCTGCTTCTCTTTCGAACTTCCCCAAATAAAGCAACAAGCTTTTTTTTTTATCTATTTCATCACAAATCGAACGAGGAAGTTTAGCCGTTTGCATCGAGTAATTTGAAAGAGTTGTGAGAGTAGACTTGGCTAAAGTAATGCGACCGGGCAGGGATAGATACTTGGTTTTCCACCCCGTGAGACGACGGTCGATTTTTTCGCAAAGGTGCGCATATGTCTAGAGCTGTCAATTCGGATAAATGGGTCGGGTTTGAGTCGGGTTAGTGTGGGTCGGGTCAGTACGGGTTAATGTTGGGACCTATGCGGGTCGGGTTTGGGTTGGGTCATGCTTGAGTCGGGTCACGTCGGGTCATACATCTTATCGGGTTTGGGTCGGGTTTAGGTTGGGTCAATAAAAGGTCGGGTTACATTCGGGTCGGGTGAAAAACAGGTCGGGTTACATTCGGGTTTTTACAGGTTTAAACGAGTTAGGGTCCTGTTCGGGTTCGAGTTGAGTTCGGTTCAAGTCAATTATTTGCGGGTTATAATCAGGTCGGGTCATTGTCGGGTTCAGTTCAAGTCAATAATTTGCGGGTTATAATCACGTCGGGTCATTTCCTAGTCGGGGCATTCTCGGGTTCGAGTCGGGTTCGGTTCAAGTCAATAATTTTTTTTTTAAAGCTCCAAATCAAATTACATAATTTAAAACATTTAAAAAAATATTTAAATAAGTAAGTGAATACTAAAATTTGAAAAAAAGGATCAATAAAAGGATTATAAGTAGTTATATGGAAGTTTATTTTGAAGATAAATTTAGAAAAAAAAAATCATTTGGCTGATTTAATTAGACAAAATCACTATCATCGATTCACCTCACTCACCTCATATAGCCTCAAATACGTTTAAATTCGGGTTAGTAATAGGTCGAGTTTAAATTCGGGTTAGTAATAGGTCGAGTTTAAATTCGGGTCGGGCCAATAACAAGTCGGGTTGAATTTGGGTCGGATCAATAACAAGTCGGGTTGATTTCGGGTCGGGTTTGTACCATGTCGGGTTTAAATTCGAGTTGGGTTAGGAACGGGTCGGGTTGAATTCGGGTTTTGACGGGTAAAATCGGGTTTGGGTCATTCTCGGGTTCAAGTCAAGTTCGGTTCAGGTCAATAATTTACGGGTCACATTTGGGTCGGGTCCTCTCTAGGTCGGGTTATGGTCGGGTTCGGGTCTCAAATACTCGGGTCTAGGGTTGGTTTCAGGTCAGGTTAGGTCGGATTCGGGTCACCATTTTTTTCGGGTTCAAACGGGTTAGGGTTAGGGTCGGATTAGGGTCGGTATTTCAGGTCGGGTCAGCTTTTGACAGCTCTACATATGTCTCATGAGTAACTCGATTGGTCAATGTAGGCATTTCCAAATAAAACCCAAGATCCTCTGTATAATGAAATATTCACCCCACACAATGTGCGTCTCAAAATCTATATTCTTTAAATTTTTATTAGTATTTAAATAACAACTAATATTTTGATATTCATGGAGACGATTTTGATTACCCAATAACAAAATTTTAAGCCCCACCCAAAAGACTTTGACGTAAAGTTTCGACCTCGGTTTTATTTATAATCCTATCCAAGTATTTCGGTACGAAGTGTAAAAAAAAAAAAAAAAAAAAAAAAAAAAAAAGGCTCATCTTTTGAAGGTATAATCACGAGATGACTTCAAAATTTACTAACTCTTTAATTTATTTATTGTTTTTATCAAAATGGGTAATTTAATTTTCTTGGTTTTATTTACTCTTATTATTATTTTTATTGCTTTGACTATAGTATCAAACTATATATTAGGATTATATTTATTATTGGGCATACTACGTTGCTTAGCTTTTAATATTTTAATGTCACATGCTCTACTTTAATTAATTTGATGGATTTTTTTTTATGATCAATATGTTATTGGTGAATCAAGGCCATAATTTAAATTTCATGACTAATAAGATAATTATTGTGGACAAATAGTTTAGAATCCCATTAATCTAGTTGTTTAACAAAGTAATTACAATCTTTATCAATTGAGTTCATTGATGTACGTTAAAAAAAAAACCTTATATGTATGTATTTTAATTGCAAATTAAACATATTTCTATAAAATTGAGTAAAGGTCAATACGGGCGAAATTATCATCCTTATTTGATTTCCTACCATTATCCCTGCACCCTCCATCCATGTTGTAATACTCTAAAAATTCCCATCCTTCAAATTCCCCTACCATCGTGATAACTGAAAATTCAACTAGTACTTAAGAGGGGCGGGGAGCTAAATTGTACAGTAACAGTTAGTGAACATAAAATAGACCCTGCAATAGTTGATTCAGTTACAAACATGCCATGATGACTAGACAATAGATCCACAATAGTTGATTTATTTACAAATATTTAATAATGACTAGGCAAAATTGTTGATTTATTTAAAGTTTTGCCATTTGATAAACGAATTTTGTTTGTCAAGGAGATAAATTGGCTTCCTCGCTATATATATCCCTCATATTCATCTCAGTGCCCCCAACCATTTTTTTTTTTTTGTTAAGTTTTAGTTTTCATTAAAGGTTATCAAGGAGTATTGAAGAGAAAATTTTCATTTGAGAAAAATTGAAAATTAGATTAATTGTCAATTGTTTAAATGCAAAGGATATTAAATTCATAAACTCTTATCTTATATGTGGTCAACCACACAATTAGTTGATGGATAATGGGGTTAATGGGATTATTATTGCGATTATTATCAAGTTGTCTTACTAAGAGTACTACAATAGAAAAATCGATATACTTTTACAAACAAGTGGAATTATTTTTTCATAGCCAAAATCAATGAAAGAGAGTTAATTACTTGAATGAACAAATGATTCTTTTATTTTCTAATAGTTTGACGTTACTATACTCATATACTGAATCAGAGTTACTCTTACAAATACAATAATATTACCTTTATGAATAAATGAGTTATTCATATTGATAAAAATTGGTTAATTTAATTTTATAAATAAATAAATTGAACTTTGTATCTAATTGGTGACTTGTATTATTAAATTAAATTAATATCATAGTCAGCTTGTCAACATATCAACCCTATTTAGGTAGCAAATATCTATTATTAAACCCGCAATGATTTGATATCTCATTTGATGTCAATAAAATCCAATAGGATACACTTTTATGATTTTAATTTTGAGGATTTATGATGATTTATCCCTATAAATACCACTTTGTATACCTTACAAAAATCAACCCCTCCAATTTATTAAAAGTCATCCCACCTTGAAATAAACCCTAATCCCTATTTCTTTTAAATTAAAAAAAAAAAAAAAAAATCTCTAGTTCTCCTTCATAGTAGAAATGAGTAGAAAAAATGTAAAATCATCAATCATAAAAGATGTCACTTCTAGGAAAGCTTCACACAAAACACGATCACTTGGGCTGTTAAAAAAGACTCAGGAAATTAGTGTGTTGTGTGACGTGGATGCTTGTGCTATCATATACGGAGAAGATGATCAAGTTCCATTGGCGTGGCCTTCATCTGAGGCAGAAGTAAGACGAATTATCAACAATTACAAAGGTAAGTCTCAAGTAGGTCAATTGGAAAGGCAATTAGATCAACAGACATTTTTAAAACAAACCGTACAGAAGAGTGAAGAGAAGCTAGCAAGGATTCAAGTGAAGAATCGAGAGTTGCAAATGGAAAATATAATCACCGACATAATGGCTGGTAGATCTACACTTGAACAAGTCCCCTTCTGCGATTTGGGATATATGATTAGGATGTTAAAAGAAAGAATGAAGCTTGTTAAGAATCGGATTTCTAATTGGGGAAATAATATCAACAGTAATCCTCCTTTTCAAAACTCAAGTGCTAGCCGTGATGATAATCTAAAAATAAACTCAAGTCTTTTTCATGGAGATGGGATGATGGAGGCTATTACGTCAAGGAATAATCATACTAGTGAATAATTCTTTGCCGGGTGTATCTTTGCTTGCAGCCAATCCTCATAATTCCTATTTTGTAGTTGTTGTTATTGTTCTTACTTCTAGTAATATTATGAGCCTAAGATTTAAATAAAGAATTGGATTGGTTTTATTTGATATATCTTTCCTATTATTTATTATGAGATATAATATCACGCTATTATGGATATTAATAATCACTTATGTTGTGTCTTAAGACATTAAATCAACATGTATGTATCTTTTATTAAATTCATATCTAACACCAGAAAAGAAAAGAAAGTTTGTATGTACAATATAATGGATGAACAATAAAATGTATGTACAATATGTTATTATTAGGTTGGTTAGAGGTTTTCCTCTAGATTTTTTTAGAACATTATTCTTTGTATAATTAGAGAATGGAAAATAAGAGTGTTCATTTAGAGGGAAAACATTGTTTGAATGATGAAAAGGTTTAATGAATTTTTGAATTCAATGATGCACAAGTAATTTTGATGATAGAGCTCCAAAGTTTACACCTTAATAATTTATTGTACTGGAAACAATATCCTTTGAGAAAATGCACAACCAAAAAGGTTTTTTTTTATTTTTTTTATTTTTTATTATCTAGGAATAATCCTATAATCAATACACATATTAAACCTCCTCTTATTATAAAACGATTACAGTCCTTCTCTCTTATTTTAATGTGGAAGGGTTATTTAAAATTATATTATTATATTTTAAGTTAAAGTTTGCATTAATGGTTTGGTAATAATGAACTTAGTACGTAGAGGAGTTTGGGTAGATGCTTTCTTTTGTCTTTGGTGGAAGTGCAGATAAAGATGATTAATATATTTATGAAGTGCATTTTTAGGTTAGTTTCTTTTATGAAGAATATTTGGTTGGTGGAACAGACAACTTGATACATGTTCTGAAGAAAATTAAAGAACTCATCTCACTTGGCGATTAGGTCATAGGAAAATAATCTCTGAATTTGAATGCATAAATTTGTTATGTCAAAACATTTCTCACCCTTTAATAACTTGAGTCTTGAATGACTAGAATAACACTCGTTGGTATAAAATTTTACTTTGATAGTATTGTCTTCATACCAACAAAGCATTTTACTTTTGTTGGAATTAATGAAGAAGCTAAGTAATTTAATATCATGGTAATATCATCTAAGAATAATTTTACACCAATGAACATTATTTTAGTCATTAATTACTCAAATTATTGGAGGCATCGATTTTTCAATTATGACAAGTGGTAATTATGTCTGTATTTTTGTATTGATCTTTAGAATTTTTGGAAAACGTCATTTAAGGCCATTAAGAATATGTAGTATTAATAATATTATTACAACTACAAATGCTTTTAAAATAATTGAGTTAATTCTATAAAGATCTTATCCCAAATCTTATTTTAAAAGAGAAATTGTAAGAAACCACCTTATAACACCTTTTTTTTCTTTTTTTTTTGGTAAAAGAACACCTATAAAATTAAAATTTTCTTGTGAAAGCACACTTAAACCATTTTTTTTTTTTTTTTTTTTTTTTGCAGAGTAACACCTTATCCCGATCTCAAGGCTTTGACCCCATTTTTCGGCGTTGACCATTACATGAGGGTCATGTGTTCATCCCCTCTCTCCTCAAAACCACCAAAACCTTGGCCTCCTAGCCAACCCCAGCCATCAACACCACTACCTAGCAACCACTAGAACCACCTCTCAACCTCCGACACTAACACCACAACCTATCAACCTAGTCGCCATCTAAGCCTAATCAAATTACACTAAACCCACCAAAAAAATCCCTTTTCTTTCTTTTCCCCTCCAATTAGACTTTCTCACTCGTCTAATCTTCCCAGAAACCCTTGAATTTTTTTCAATTAAAGGGGAAAACTCCATTGTTTTGCCGAATTGCAGCAAAGAACAACCCCATTTAATCTAATTTCAAGGTGGGTAAGTTGTTAAAGTAAAAAAAATTGATTAATTGTTGTTAATTTCGTTGGATTTTCTTATATACCTTAGATCTAGGGTTTTTAATTGGGGAAAAAAAGGGGGAAATTCTGCTACATACCTACCCACTTCTCTCTCCACTCCATTATTGGTTTTTGGGGGACGCTACGCTTTTTCGGATGGATTTTTGTGGTTTTGGAGGTGGGTAAGGATTTTTGTAGGCAGGTTTAAAGTGATTTAATTTAGGTGGGCAGTGAATCGGTGATGGCGGCTAGCTTGGTGGTTGGTGGTGTTGGCGTATGAGAAGTGGTTTCAGTGGTGGCTAGGTGGTAGTGTTGGCAACTGGGGTTGGTTAGGCTATGACTTCTGTGGTTTTGTGAAGGGAGGGGTGCGCATGTGACCCCAACATGAGGGTAAAAACATGATCAAACCCCATTTCCTAGTGTTTTTATGTTCTTAATTAAAAATTGTAGTTTGTTTCATTGTTTGTCTTGATGAACCTTGACAAAAACAAAACTTGCAATCTTTGAATTAGATTATGTATTGTGTCAAGATCTTTAGCAATTATACTGTATTTTCTTGATAAAAACCAAACTTGAAGTCTTCAAATAAACTTTCTTATTCTAAAGGATTTTCAAAGAGACCATAGAAACACATTTGTAGTTAATTTGGATCAATATGAAGGTGAACCCACAAGCAATTTGAATCCTAACTAAAAAAAAAAAAAAAAGAAAAAAAAAAAAGACAAGTTAACCCTATTTCTTTCTCATGATGATTTTAAAGTCCTCTAGGAGATATTTCCTTTTTTCTTCCTTATTACATGTAACAACTCATTACAAGAAGAGGTTGTGATTATGATAAAAAGCTTTTTTGGTAGTTGATCGATAATTATTAGGGATGAGCACCAACACTTATTTTCTTTGTTTTATTGCAATTCTCCAACATTTTATAACTGTGCTTTTGCTTGCTTTATTTGTTCAATCTTGCATGTGTTCCATTCTTAGATATATTCTTATGCCATTTCCATATTATATGTCTTGTATGAATTTACTTGTGCAATACTATTTAAATGAGTTATAAATTGATCATTAAAGATTCTAAAATTTTTAGCTGATAGGTTTGCTTCTAAGGCCTTTCATAATAATACAAGTGATTCCTCTGCTCACTTGTCTTCAGCTTTGGTAGACAACTTTGGTAAGGTACCCTTCACAGCTCCGCAAGGTTTTATGAAGTTCATCTCATGGAATTGCCAAGGACTAAATGACCAAAGTTCTCCGAAGCTTTCTTATGTGTTTTGGTTACTACACTCTTTTGTTCCTAACCTTTTGTTTCTTTTTGAAACTAAAGTTCCAGTCTCAGTTGTGACTAGCTTACTTAGTAGTCCTTGTCCTACTACGGTTTTTGGGGTTGACTTGAATGGTAGTAGTGGGGGTTTAGCGGTTTTTGGGTATGGCACGAAAGATGTTTCTTGCATTTTTTGTTGTTCAAACGTTGTACTTTGTAATATAAAAGTATCTAATGAAATAAGTAGATGTGTGATGTTAATTTATGGTGCTCCTGTTGTGGAAGATAGACCTCAAGTCCGGGATTTGATTTTAGATTTACTTGCTTTTGCTCCTAATTGTTTAATTATTAGTGATATTAATCAAATAGAGCATCATTATGATAGTTTGGGTGATTCTAGTGTTATTAAGGGTTGGGATTCCTTTATTTATTTTAGATTAAAATCCAATTTGTTTTCCACTCCATTCAAAGGCCCCCTTACATTTGGACAAATAATCGGAGGTACATCAACTTATTTTACAACAGTTGGACCGCTCCTATATGACCTCTGATTGGTTTCATAACTATCTTGATAGTCGTTTACTTGATCAACTGATCCTTGTTTCTAATCATGCTACTATTGTGTTTGACGACTCACCCCTGTAGCATACGTCAAATCGTCCTAATCAATTAGATAATTGGTGCCTCAACTATATACAGGTACATGACTTCGTTCGTTACACATGGCAAAGGAATAATATTGGCTCTCCAATGTTTATCCTTTCGAAAAATTTGGACCATGTCAAGGCACTAATGCGGAAGTGGTGTCTAAACAATAAGAAACTATGGGGTGTGGATTATAATTTTTTTTTCGAAGGAACTCTCCATATCCCATGGATGGGGAGTTAATTTAATCTGATCCTGATGCGACACAGTATATGTCTAATATTGTTACTTTGAAGGACAGTATTTTACTATAGCTTTAATTCTATCTAGAGACAACGTTATAAGAAAAATTGGATACTCAAAGGTGATTACCCCTCAAAGATATTTTTCTTTAAAGTTAAAACTCGATAGAAGAAGAATCAAATCACTTCTTTTCTTGATGAATAATGTGTTATTCAGCATGGTCAGCCGGACGTTCAATGTATTATCGTGAAATCTCTAAAACAGACCTTTAAGAGTGATGTTATGCCACCTTATGATCCAGAAATTGACATTGTCTTGCGTAAATTAGATCTTCCAACTCTATAATTTGGAAAGACCTTTTTCGTCTGCAGAAATAAGGGACGACATGTTTGCTTTAATACTGTAAGTCTCCTAGTCCGGATGGGATCACACTATAGTTTTTCAAAACACACTAGGATTTTGTTGGAGATTTGGTTGTCATGGGCATTAGACATGGTTCCTTCAGAAAGAGTGGAATCAATCTCTCCTTGTTATGATTATGAAGATTGGGACTTTAACAGAGATAGGAAATTTATGTCCAATTAGCCTCTGTAATACGATTTACAAATGCGCTTCAAAGTGCTTGGATACAATTTTAGACTGCATCAATATTTTCCTCTTCGTATCTCAGATTTCCAATATGCCTTTGTTCAAGGCAGAGTTATAACGGATAACATTTTGTTGAGTCGTGAGTAAATGGACAAATTAACATTTCTAAATCTGGTTCTAACTTGCTTGTCGCGATTAAAATTTATATAAGTAAAGCTTACGACCGAATTCATATGAGCTTTCTTTTACGTACATGTCTTGAAGGGCTATGGGTTTCCAGCTCGTTGGTTGCAAATGAACCAACAATGTCACTCCACGGTCTCTGATAAGTCTCTTATCAATGGTATGTTGTCAGACCCATTCAAACTGTTGTGTGGTCTTCTCTAGGGTGACCCTCTCTCACCGTACCTCTTCCTTTTCTGCATAGATATTTTCTCGTGGATGTTACATCTAGGCGAAGATTTGAAGTTTTTTCAAGGAATCAAGCTTTCAAGAAATAGTCCTATTATCTCCCATCTATTCTTCGTTGATGATGCTCTTACCCTCTTCCGTGCTTCATCTACTGCGTGTTCTAACATTGTCCAAATCATACAATGGTTTACTAAAATTTCGATAGAGGAACTCAACCTTTCAAAATCTCTGATTAAGTTTAGCCCGAATATTAGTACTAAAGTGTAGAAGGATTTCGAATTGATTTTTCCGATGAAACAAGTTTAGGTCTTCGATCATCATCTGGGTGCTCCTATCGACTGCTTAGAAAAAAAGAAGGATCACTTCCAACTCATCATTGATAAAATTATCGGAAGGATTAACTGCCTAAATACTATCAGGCTGTCCCAATCGTAGAAGTTAATCATTATTAACTCTATTCTTGTAACTATGGCATCTCATGTCCTTTCCTGCTATGATCTCTCGCTTTTACTGACTGGAAAAATTAATTCTTTACTGATGCGCTTTTTTTGGGCGAATTCTGATACTACAGGTATGCATTAGGAAGGATACCATGCATCTCCCTCGTGGTATGGGCGGGTTAAGAATTCGATGTTTTTCCTCCTTATATAAGACGTTCCTAATGAAACATTTTTAGAGGTTTGATAACAATCCATAACTCCTTATTTTGAAAGTTTTCTCTACACGCACTACCTTTATTTCCAATACCTATGACACTATGCCTTGATTCTCAGGTCGTTACTCTTATGGCCTTCGTGGGTTACTTAGGTAGATACACTTTCACAACAGGGTTGTAATTGGAAAATAGTTAATGGCCGCTCTATTCTAGCCGGCTCAACTAAATGGGTTATTGGTAATATCCCTTAATTTAAGTCGGAATTCTTAATACGCACTCCAGGGAACTGTAGTACCAGTCATTTTTATTTATTAGCAAACCAAAGGGTGGGACACTAATAAATTTCATACTGGTTTATGCCCGCAGATGCATTGGCAATCCTTGCTATGGAATTGTCAGATACTACACAGGAAGACTTTCAATACTGGTCTAGTACCCCTTCAGGAAGGTACTCGGTTAATATAGGCTATGAAATGCTTCATCAACAACTTCCTAGAGCCCTAGTTGCTTCAAGTGTAGGCTCCTTTTAGAAAATTCTTTGGTCTTTGCAGCTACATCCTAAATGGAAGTTGTTTTTATGGAAATTGCTCCTTCTTGCTCTCGTAGTTAATACGGAGCTTCATCATAGAGGGGTTTCGGTTCAAGATGTGTGTTGTGATATTTGTAATACTGAACCGGAGGATTTATATCATCTCTTTAGGATGTGCTATAATGCAAGAACATATTGGAGGGGTGGATGCCTCGGTATTCACTTAAAGAGACCTTTCTCTCTCAAATTGGATCCAAGATTATATTTGACTTTTTATTAGTCAGGATGGGCCTAGTAGTACTCGCCTGGGCACCTTCGTCGGTACCCTTTAGAGTCTTTGGTTATGTCGGAATTCCATAATCTTCAGCAATTCTAATGTAATACACTCTCATGCTTCTCAGTTTGCGGAGGTCATGGATTTTCATATAATATTCCTTGACCACGACGTTGCTGGTACTCCTCTTCTGTCACTAGGGATCAAGCTGCTACCTTACCTTTTCCTGGTTTTTATGCAGCTCAGCTTGGATTACTCAACCATGGGAATGCTTTACTATAAATGCAAATTGATGGTTCTTGGTTCAAAGATTCCGAGCATGCTGGTTGGGTGGTTATTGGATAATGTGGACCCGTTGGATGACCGGATCATTGGCGGAAGTAACTTCGGCGTTTGCTCTTCATCCTTACATGCAGAGGCGATGGCGTGCTTGTATGGTTTACAATGGGCTTCGAATAATGGGTTTTAGTCCCTCACAATCTTTATTGATTCACATAATCTTGTTACGCTTATTCGGGGGGATGATCAAGGTAACATTAATTACCTCTGGCTCATCATAAAGACTAACTGGCTTGGCTCTACCTTTCAATATTGTCGTGTTCATAAGGCAGATGGACAATGTGTTCATCGTGCTCATCAAATTGTTGAAGAAGCGGCGGTTAATTTTATTTGATTTTGTACTAATTTGTAGTTTGATTTTATCCTTTGTAAAAAAAAAGAAATGAAAAGATTTGTAATAGTAATTAGGCATCTCTTTAATTTTTTCTAACAACGTAACAATCTCTACTTGCAAAGCCAACCCCATTTGCATGCACTCTTGACATAATCATCAAAGTGATCACAATTTACAAACCCCTTGGTTGCTAAATCAAACCCAACTTAAAATTAAAAATACATGTTCTAAAATAAGTGGGTGTGAACAATTTTAAAAAATTTCAAAGTGAACAAGAACAAGTCAATTATTTCTATACCAACCACTTGGTTTCAAAGACAAAACGGATTAATTAAAAATTGGAGTAATATAATAAGGTTACCATAGTCCTTATAAAACTATGATGACCTTAAAAAATGCATCTAAGCAACCCTACAATTTCTCACAATGTGGGGATAGGCACAAACCTTGTGAGAGGGGGAAACAACCATGCATATATAACACCCCTACAAGTTAATTGGTTCAAATTGGGTCATTGTTTTTGGAACCAGACTTGGACCTAGTTGACACGGTCTACATTAGGGCAAAATTTGTTCTGTTCTAAAGATGGGTAACGAGAATTTTTTCTCATCCCTACCTCTTAACATTGTCGTTCACTTTATTTACTTCATTGTTAATAAAAAAAATGTGTGAGAGTGTTCCACATTTTTAAGTGCACTGTAGAAATCAAATTTTTGTTTTACTTCTAAAAATTTTATACCAAGTGGAGACAAGGGGATTATTAAATTTGAAAACGGGGGAAGTATATCATAGATGCATTATTAAAATGAATAACATATTTTAGGATGAAAAATCAGTCATTAAAACCAATCCGATCCAATTCTCCATTTAAATCTTAGGCTTGCAGAAATACAAGATAAATTGAAGACGATAACAATAAGAAGAACAACGGCAACAAAAAAAAAACAATAACGAAACAAATAACAACAACAAACAAAGATTGCGAGGATTGGCTGCAAGCTAAGAAACACCCAATGAAGTATCATTGGCTGGTATGATTAGCCCCTGACGTACTAGCCTCCATCGTCCTATCACCTTGGGAACGAGGATTGCTATTCTTTCCAAAAACCTTTAATCGATGTTGGACGGACTTCATTCGATTCTCTAGGACTAAAATCAAGTCACTCAAATCGCAAGGGTCGACTTGTTCGATTGTAGATTTTCCAGTCATTATGTCAGTGACCATATTTTCTATTTGTAAATCTCGGTTCTTCCTTTGAATCCTTTCTACCTTCTCTTCAGTCTTTATAACATTTACTTCTGACAATGATTGTTGATCTAATTGCCTTTGCAATTGATACATATCAGAATTATCTCTGTAATTGGAGATAATTCTTTTTATTTCGGCCTCAGATGAAGGCCACACCACTGGAACTTGGGCATCTTTCGCAAATATGATAGCACAAGCATCTATGTCACACAATACACTAAGTTCCTGAGTCTTTTTTACTAACCCCTTTGTACGTTTTGAAGATGTAGCTTTCCTTGAAGTTGCATTTTCTATGAATGCTAGCTTCACTTTTTTTCTAGCCATTTCTACAATGGAGAAGATCTAGGGTTTTCCTCTTTGAACTAAAAGAAGGGTTTTTAAGTGGTTTTTTTTTTTTTTTTTTTTTTTTTATATATGTATTTAGAAGAAGGGATGAATAGTTTTAGGTATATAGAAGGATATATATAGGGCTAGATCACCCTAAACCCTAAGGATACAGTGAGAGTCCACTTTTGTATACCTTACAGTCCATAATGGATTTTATTGACATCACATCAACATGTCATAGAATTGAGATAGTATTGACAGCAAATCAACAAGTAATTGAATTGAGATATTATTGACAGCAAATAATTGTATATATGTGAAATAAAAATGATTTTTGTTACCAAAATTGGGTTGATATTTTGGCAAGATGGCTAGGATATTAATTCAATATTCATCCATTGCATTTAGACTATTGTAACTTTTGTACATTAACCTAAGACTCCCTCTGTTTAAATACTTGCTTCATTTCTCTAGGACACGTATGTCGTGGTAATATTTTATCAATAATATCTTTAAATTTCAATAAGTATAAACTCTAACAATTGAAAATTAATAATCTATTCATTGAGACAATTTCAACAAGTACCCACAAGATTATATATTTTCTTATGTATAAATCACAAACATTAATCAAAGTAGGACAAAAGAACAATGCAAAAAATAAAAACAGAGCAAGAATTTAAAAACGGAAGGACCATCTTTTATTTTCAACTTAAAATTATGTCCCTTAGGCTATTTGGCCACCATAAAAAAAAAAATACATTAACTAAAAGAAAATAATTGGGGGATAGTAATGCGATGAATTTGAGGGACTAATATGTGCCTTAACAAAAATTTCTAAGGCACTTTAAACGTAATAGATACTCTTTTCCTTTATAAAAACTTGCTCCATTTCTACTTTTTGCACTATTTATTTGTCCTACTTTAATTAATGTTTGTGATTTATACATAAGAAAATATATAATCTTGTGGGTACTTGTTGGAATCATCTCAATAAATAGATTATCAATTTTCAATTGTTAGAATTTATACTTATTGATGATTAAAGTTATTATTGATCAAATATTACCATCGGCATACGTGTCGAAGAGAAATGGAGAAAATATTTAAAAATGGAGGGAGTATTTATTAATAGATGATTTTAACATCGATTTTAATTAATAATCTTACAAAATGTACTTTGAGTATGCATAAAAAAAAGGACAAAACCTTGAACATTGCTTATGTTTTTGGTGTCCATAGAATCACAAAGGTAGGTAATAAGAGTTGATTTCAGGATCTTCTAAAATAATCAGGATGAAACCCTAACCACTTGAGCTACCCCTCACTCTTAAAACCTTTAATGAACATTGCATAAATGAGGAATTATTTTAAATCACAGAAGTTTAATGCTCGGACTTTCATTTTACTAACTAACAAAAACTAATACAAGAAGAGCGCAAATGAAATTAATGTTGCATTGATAATACATTAAGAAACATTCATGAATTTGAAAAAATGCTTATCAAACATGAACAAATAAATCATTAAACGTTCGAAAAATGAAAATCTGCACCCAAAAAAACTTAACAATTTTATCACATCGAAGGCTTAACACGATTACTTGGTAATGGCATAGACGGCATAGATGATTCCGGGGAGGTAGCCGAAAAATGTCAATATTAGGCAAATCCAGAACTCTACCTGCAAGCCAATTACACGAGTTTTACCTTAGTTCGTTACATATATGGTGTTTATTAGTAACGAATATTGATTAGAAAAACAATGAAGATTATGCAAAATTAGACAATTTAACTATTTAAGGATTCAGAAGATCAGTTCATGTTAGCTACCTTTGTGATTCAGAAGATCAGTTCACATACCTTTATTGACTCATGCATGAGTAAAATATAGTACGGAGTACTAAGTATTTAAAATTAGAAATAAAATTTCATCAATCCTGAGATTCCTAATAATAATAATAATAATAATAATAATAATAATAATAATAATAATATTTCACAATTATAATTATCAAATCACACCAAAAACCTCTTTTCTTACTTCGTGTAATTCTTCCATCAAGGATTATACGTTATTATATACTACGTATATAGTATTATTATGTAAACTCGTATTGTGACAAAAAAAGAATAAGTTGGTCATAAGAGGATGATAATTACCTTAAACTTGCAATGGAGGTTGCACATTTGGATCCTAATATTCCTGAACACTTATTAAAACTACACATATCAATATCAAATTTTAGAAATTAGTGTAAATCGAAATTTTCTTACAAATGCAAAAATTCTCAAAATTATTATCATCAGATGATTATAATTCTTCCTATCACATGCCAATAAATCTAAAAAAAGAAAAAAGAAAACCTTTTAATAAGGTGGGTGCAATATTAGCACGCAAAACTAAATAATTATAACTAAAGCACACAAAAAATACAGTTGCAAAAGATATATTGACAATGAAATTTGAAAAACTAATATAATCATGTACGTACTTCAAACCATATAACCTAACATTTATTTCATCCGAAATTTATCATCTCAATGATAGTATTATGTGAACTGGTATCGTGACAACTAAATTAAGAAGATCGTAATAAGATGGATATGTTCATAGGAGATATGATACTTACCCTACATCCAAACTTGAGAAAAACACCAAGAGGGGGTAGAATTATTGCAAGAAGTATATCGATACAAGTTGCTGTTGAGTCTGAGATTTTTATTATTTTCCGAGATTTTTGGTGTGATAAACACAATTACACAAAGCAAGAAGAGAGAAAATAGCAGGGTTGTTAGATTTGATGGCAACTTAGATATGGTTTTAGGGTCTTTATATAACCTGCACACACTCTCCCAAAACAAAAATCAAATTTCTTTTTTTTTTTTTTTTTATTAATTAGTTAGGGTGTGGAAGGAGCTTAACAACATGATAACAACTCATACATGCATGTAGTTATTTTTTCTTTTTTTTTCATCTATTGATGTTGACGAATGGAATCAATGGATACTATATAATTTTATGATGTAGGGCACGTGAGTAAGAAAATATTAACAGTAAAATTACATCTAAATGTGTTGTGGAAACTGTAATTGTCATTTATATAAAAGGAAATGATCACATCTTTAATATACAATTACCAAAACTTAACATTATCGTCACATTTAATGATTAATCAAGGTAAAAAATGAGGGAGCCCAGGTTAATCTATGATATCAATATTTCAGGTTAATCTCCTCTCACAACTTTATGTATTTTTTTCAGTGCCACTTTATTATTTCACTTTTTATTACTTAGAAAATAAAAGAAAAAATAATATATTGTGAGTGGAGATTAACATTACAAGTTAATGTCAGAGATAAACTTGATTTTCCCATAATAAAAAAATTAACTAATTAAGTATAGGTAGGTCAAGGAGAAAGAATTCAATTGTACAAAGACTCACTAATAACACTCCCTCTAATATACTTATGCCCTAAATTGATTTTCAAGTTCATTTAAAAATTATTTTACATACCTATTTAGTTATGTACACTTAGACGGAAGAAATAAAGGCGTCGACATTAAAAACACCCTAGCTAGGTTAAGGTGAGGAATATATCAAACCTAAAGCTAGTATGAAGTAACACAAGCAAAATAAAGCAATTAGACAGGTAATAACATGTGTATAAGCAAGTATTATGGCCTGAATATAAAGCAAAAGCTTACATGTTGTCTGAGCAGGAGAATAGGTTCTCTCATGTGTTCTAGTCTTCCAGATCCGACGCAACCGTAATCGTGTATTATCTCTCTAAGTACAGTTTCTAATTTCTTAATTAACACCACTAATTATTATTTAAGCACGTGAATTAACAACTTATTCAGAATATTATAACCGACCATCTTGTTCAATAAACTTTATTTAGGGTTGTATCGTGGTATCATAAATGAAATTAGGTTTAGAATTAAAAATATAACTATTTTTTTAGGGCCATTTTAGGAGATATTCTTGTATATTTGTGTTAATTCATTCAAAGATGTTTTTCATATGGGGAACTTTGTGGCTTTGTGCATCACATACCATAAATTTCTCTAATTTTGAAAGTACACTTAAAATGAATACATAAATCCTATAAAATGTGAAAATTAACTACGTTTTGCATTATATTCTAGTTTTTTTTTTAATTGTTTGCATCATACATACACTTCAAAGGGCCGGCATGTTCTCATTGACTGAATTAAACTGAACTGAACTGAACTTATTAGAGCTGAAATGAACTGAAATAAATTGAACTGAATTGAATATTTTATGAGAGAAAAAAAACTAAACTGGACTGAAAATAATTAATATAATGAGAATAGGGCCTTCATCCCTGCATAGGCTACATTCGATGATTTTATCAGTTAGTCATTTCCATTTTCATAGAAGCTTCCCAAAAGGGGGGAAAGGTTAGATCATTCGTATGATTTTAGTTTTGGGAGCAAGGAACTTATTACGAATAAATAGATAATGTAAACATGATTTGAAATCATCTCCAAATCATCTCTTATGCGTCCACAACTTTTGCCCTTTTAATTTTACGTGTAATTTTTTTTTTTTTTTTATTGTGTTAAATGTGTATCACGTAGATTTTTTTACCAAATCCGCCTATAATGTGAGTGAGCTAAAAACTTACTATTACAACGACGTCAAAGATTTAAAATACGCATTTAGGTTCCATGCATTTTGACCCTAGATTGATTACAACAACCAAATAATAATATATGATACGAGTACCACGTATGGTGAAATAAGAAATTAAGAGCCTAAATCTCCTGATGACATTTTTATATAGGAAGAATTGGTGAGAAGATATAAACTTATAAAATTTCAATGGCGGTGCTAAGTAAATAAGTAATTCTTCATTGTGAATGAAGACACTCAATTTTTATAAACTACGTGATTTTGCGTTTATTTGTTGACTTTTCCTCGTAACAAAACAAAACCATGAAATTATTCTAGGAAGATTTGTACGACTACATAGTACAAGCAGCTAAGCAACTTAATCATGAATTAATATGAAATTAATTTTATAAACTCACACGCTAATCAAATACGACCTAAGAAACCTCACATGGTGATGCTTGCATAGTTGCATCATTCTCACCGATCACCATACTTTTTAATTTAGAAATAAGCTACGAGTAGATCAATAATAATTTAATTGCAATCCGTTGTATCTTTTGCATGATAGAATCTAAGAATAACTTTAACCATATGCTTGTACATTATGGCAAATCGGCAAACCTTGGTTGTACGAAGAAGATCCTTCAAATCCCATCTTATTTTTAAATTATGTACTATATAAAGTATTCCATTTACTTTTATGTTTTTCAACATATTAAGTTATAGTCTTTACTGTAGTATATACCGAATGAGTTCATAATCACCTCAAGGAAAAGGTATTTTCCGAGTTTACATTAAGTTCCTTTGATTATGTCTATGACAAAAACAAAATTAGTTATATTGTATCGGTAAATGTTAATTAGTCCAAGTTAAAGATTGAGAGTTCAACCACCAAGTTCAACTGCATTGTATATCGCGAAAGAAACAACCATTAATCAAGCAATCTTCCACATGAGCATATTGGATTTGTAACATCTTTTCGATTTACTCGAACGTTAATCGTTGCAATTCCAGTCGAGTACTATGCAGTAGGAATACATAACCTTATAAGGCATTAGTTTTCTTCTACATATCCACAACTGTGCTTGACAATGTCCTAGCATATGCTATCATGTCACCTAAGAGAGATGCCAGCAATTGTTTTCAGTATCTAGCAGACCAGCACCAGAGGTAATATATGAAGAAAACAATGGTTTTTATCAACCAAAAAAATTATTAAGACGTACCTAATCAACGAGCAATTTTATCTTCTCTTGCTTCAAGTGCTTCTACTTCCTCTGTTGATAAGTATATTAGGTGACTCGTACTTCGTAGCTTTGTCCGCCCGATCGGGCGGACATTGCCCGGTCTGACCGGGCGGAAGAAGAAGAGGTGCCTGGCAAATTCGTTGAAGAAGCTGCTCTCGCGCCCGACCGGGCGAGCCTTCGCCCGACCGGGCGAGCCTTCGCCCGATCGGGCAGACCTTGCCCGGTCTGACCGGGCGGTGGGGGTTGGATACGTTGAAGCATTCGTATGGAGTTTTCTTCTCGCGCCCGATCGGGCAGACCTTGCCCGGTCTGACCGGGCGGAGAAGGAAAAATACGGAACGCGGATTTTGCGGTTTTAGGTTATCTTATTTTATTATCTTTTTGCCCAAGTATCTTTTAATTAGGGATTAATATAAAACCTCCCTAATATCAGTATTAGGGTTAAGAGAGATAGAGTGAGAGCCGTTCTTGAGAAATACAAGAATCATCTTTGTAATCTTTGCAGTTTATAGTGAAATCATTCGATCTCGGTGCCCGTGGACGTAGCTATCACATCGATAGTGAACCACGTAAATTCTTGGTGTTGTTCTTATTGTTTGCATTGAATTTCTTTATTGTTTTCTTGTTTGTTTTCGACCTTTGCTTCCGCTGTCGCACAACAATTGGTATCAGAGCCAGGTTCAATCCTTGGAGAGTTTCTTGAAGATAACAATGGCAGGAGATTCAACAATAAGAATTGAGAAGTTTACCGGGAAAAATAGTTTCGGGCTATGGCAAATTAAGATGAAGGCTCTGTTAAAACAACAGCAGATATGGCGTCCGTTGGCTCCAAAGAGTACTACTTCGGAGTCAGGAGACGGACCGACTGACTCGCAGTTAGAAGTTATGGAAGAGAAGGCACACTCTACCATATTACTTAGTCTTGATGATCAAATCATCACGGAGGTTGCTGATCAGGAAACGGCAGCTGGATTGTGGCTGAAGCTGGAGTCATTGTATATGACTAAGTCGTTGACCAACAAATTATTACTGAAACAGCGGTTGTTTAGCCTCCGGATGCAGTCAGGTACTTCCTTACGGGAACATCTAGAAAAACTTAACTCTATTTTGCTTGATTTACGTAATTTAGATGTTAAAATTGATGATGAGGATGCTGCGTTGATTTTACTTGTATCTCTACCGTCTAGCTTTGAGAATTTTGTAGAGTCTTTTGTTGTTGGTAAGGATTCTATAACCTTAGAAGAAGTGAAGGCAGCACTTCATACTAGGGAACTCAGAATGAAAGCTACGAGTGATAATGGGGATAATGGTAGTGGGTTATTTGTTAAGTCCGGAAAGTCTAAAAAGAATAAGGGGTTTAACAAGGGGAACAATGCTGGGTCGGGTGCTGGAAACGGCAAGGATGGATCTAGTAAAACTACTACTAAAACATGTTATTACTGTAAAGAACCGGGTCACTTTAGGAATAATTGTCCGGTGAGGAAAAACAAGTCCCAGGCTGCTGTAGTTGAAGAGAAACCGAATGAGAGCTATAATTCAGAGGAAGATTTAGCATTAGTCAGTTCTGCTAGGTCTGATGATTTATCTGATAACTGGGTTCTAGATTCGGGGTGTTCGTTCCATATGTGTCCACGTCGAGATTGGTTTGATACATATGAACCTCGCAATGGGGGTATGGTTATAGTCGGTAACAATGCTCCATGTAAGGTCACAGGTATTGGTTCCATGAGGTTGAGGACTGTTGATGGGCGGAGGTTAACTTTGACTAATGTACGGCATGTTCCTGCTTTAGGAAAGAATCTGATTTCATTGGGTACCCTGGATGAATTGGGGTACAATGGTGTGTTTTCAGATGGGGAGTTGTGTATTTTCAGAGGTTCTGAGTTGGTACTTAAGGGTATCAAAAGGAACACCCTCTATGTTTTTGAGGGTGTTACACTGCCTAGTTCTGCGGTTTGCGCATCTGTATCTCACCAGGAGATGACTAAGATTTGGCACATGAGGCTTGGTCATATGGGGGAGAAGGGGATGCAGCTATTGTCCAAGAGGGGTCTTCTATCCGGGGTCAAGGTTGCCAACCTTGAATTTTGTGAGCATTGTGTGTTTGGTAAGAAACACAGGTCAATGTTCAGCAAGGGTGCTCACATTACTGATGCAGTGCTCGATTACATCCATTCAGATTGCTGGGGTCCATCTAGAGTTGAAGGTATGGGAGGTTACCACTATTTTGTGTCATTTGTTGATGACAAGTCCCGATACACATGGCTTAGGTTGCTTAAGTCAAAGGATGAGGCCTTCAAAGTTTTCAAGCAATGGAAAGCTTTGGTGGAAAATCGACAAGGAAGGAAGATCAAGAAGCTACGAACGGACAATGGGCTAGAGTTTTGCAAAGACGAGTTTAATCAGTTCTGTGCAGATGAGGGTATAGGTCGGCATCATACTGTCAGGAAGACACCACAGCAGAACGGTGTAGCAGAACGGGTTAATCAGACACTGCTAGAGAGAGTCCGATGCATGCTCTCTAATGCAGGGCTTGGGAGGAGGTACTGGAGTGAAGCTGTGTTAACAGCTTGTTATGTCATTAATAGGGGTCCTCATTCTGGAATTGATTCCAAGATTCCGTTTGAGATCTGGAGTGGTAAGTTGCCTAATTTTTCGAATTTGAAGATTTTTGGTTGTGTTGCTTATTATCATGTTATTGAGGGTAAGCTGGATCCACGAGCCAAGAAGGGGTGTTTTGTTGGGTACGGGGATGGTGTGAAGGGGTTTAGAATTTTTTCACCTTCGGAGGGTCGGGTCATTCTTAGTAGGGATGTTACTTTCGATGAAAACACCATGTATTCAATTAAAAATGCAGAGATTTCAGATTTGAGAAGGGAAGGAGACAATTTATTACAGACAGATGGGGTACTTGAGGTACATCAGTCTACCATTGCTGATTTACCTCGGGTACAATATATTGATGATGATGCTGATGTTCCAGTGCCGGGTACTCCTGAACCTGAGATTACTCCTACTCATTCTAACTCTGGGGATGAGGTGGAGCAATCTAATCAGGGGTCATCTAGTCAACCTGACACCATTCTTGAGATGCCTAAACGAGTTATCAAGAAGCCTGTTAGATTGATTGAAGAGATGGAGGGAAGAAATTGCTGTGTTGATGCGATGACAGGTTATGCATTGAGTGTAGCTGATGATGTAGAGTCATTTGAACCTGCCACATATAAACAAGCAATTAGTTGTAGTGAGTCTGCGCAATGGCTTGCCGCAATGGGTGAAGAGATGCAGTCTCTTTACAAGAACAGAGTGTGGGAACTGGTAAAAGTACCGGAAGGGAGGAAGCTTGTGGGTTGTAAATGGATTTACAAGAAGAAAGAAGGGTTGTCGGAAACTGAGCAAATACGTTTTAAGGCTAGGCTAGTTGCTAAGGGGTTCAGTCAGGTAGAAGGGGTTGATTTTGTTGAGATATTCTCACCTGTGGTTCGACATACTTCTATCCGTGTGTTATTGTCAATTGTAGCACATTTTGATCTTGAGCTGGAGCAGTTGGATGTTAAAACGGCTTTCCTTCATGGCAATTTGGAGGAGGAGATTCTGATGAAGCAGCCCGAAGGATTCGAAGTTCCTGGAAAGGAACACTATGCCTGCAGATTGCTAAAGTCATTGTATGGACTTAAGCAATCCCCCCGACAGTGGTACAAAAGGTTTGATTCTTTTATGGTTTCACAAGGTTTTGACAGGAATTCATATGATTGCTGTGTGTATCATAGTAAGCTGGATAATGGTTCCATGATTTATCTTTTGTTATATGTTGATGACATGTTGGTTGCCACAAAGAATAAATCTGATATTGCTAGATTAAAGGAGATGCTTAACTCGGAGTTTGACATGAAAGACTTGGGTGCAGCTAGGAAGATTTTGGGTATGGAGATCTACAGGGATCGGGCTAGAGGTAAGCTTTTCTTGACTCAGAAAAGCTACATTGAAAAGATTCTGTCTCGTTTTGGGATGGAAAAATCGAAGCCTATAAGTACGCCAACTACTGTTAGTTGTAAGTTGTCTTTGTCTATGTCACCTCAATCAGAGGAGGAGTTGTCTTATATGTCTAGAGTTCCATATGCAAACGCGGTTGGTTGTTTGATGTATGCTATGGTCTGTACTAGGCCGGATATTGCGCATGTTGTTAGTGTTGTAAGCAGGTTTATGGCTCGACCTGGGAGGGAACACTGGCAAGGGGTGAAAAGGATTTTTCGCTACCTGAGAGGGACAGCTGATATTGGTCTTGTGTACGGGAATGGTAGGGAATGCTTGGTCACTGGGTACAGTGATTCTGATTATGCAGCTGATGTGGATACCAGGAGGTCTGTGACTGGTTATGTGTTCACTTTGGGTGGTTCTGTGGTTAGTTGGAAGTCTACATTGCAGTCATCAGTTACGTTGTCAACTACTGAAGCTGAGTATATGGCTTTAACTTCTGCAGCTAAGGAGTCTATTTGGCTCAAAGGCCTAGTAGGTGAACTGGGTATTGCACAGGATTTTGCTACAGTATATTGTGATAGTCTAAGTGCGATTTGCTTAGCTAAAGATCAAGTACACCATGATCGGACGAAGCACATTGATGTCAGGTATCATTTCTTGCGTACTGACAAGAGGATTAAGGTGAAGAAGATTGGGACTGCTGACAACCCGGCTGATTTCTTCACTAAGCCTGTTCCGTTTAGCAAGTTTAAACATTGCTTAGACTTGTTAAATATTGATTACTACGTGATGTAGTAGGCCCTGAGGGGCGAAGTTGGGGAGCTCCTGGTGTAGGTGTGTTGGCCTTAAGGTGGAGCTTGCCCGGGGCTTGTGATGCAGGTGGAGCATTATGAGTTGTTATACTTGGAGACGAGTATGTGATGGGTCTTGGTTGAAGACTTATCGGGATGTATGGCTTATGCATGAGTCTTGCATCGGGTTTGGCTTGAGATGTTTTTCACTATGTCTTGATGGGGTCGTTTGCTGACTACGAGTTCTCGTCAAGGTGGAGATTGTTGATAAGTATATTAGGTGACTCGTACTTCGTAGCTTTGTCCGCCCGATCGGGCGGACATTGCCCGGTCTGACCGGGCGGAAGAAGAAGAGGTGCCTGGCAAATTCGTTGAAGAAGCTGCTCTCGCGCCCGACCGGGCGAGCCTTCGCCCGACCGGGCGAGCCTTCGCCCGATCGGGCAGACCTTGCCCGGTCTGACCGGGCGGTGGGGGTTGGATACGTTGAAGCATTCGTATGGAGTTTTCTTCTCGCGCCCGATCGGGCAGACCTTGCCCGGTCTGACCGGGCGGAGAAGGAAAAATACGGAACGCGGATTTTGCGGTTTTAGGTTATCTTATTTTATTATCTTTTTGCCCAAGTATCTTTTAATTAGGGATTAATATAAAACCTCCCTAATATCAGTATTAGGGTTAAGAGAGATAGAGTGAGAGCCGTTCTTGAGAAATACAAGAATCATCTTTGTAATCTTTGCAGTTTATAGTGAAATCATTCGATCTCGGTGCCCGTGGACGTAGCTATCACATCGATAGTGAACCACGTAAATTCTTGGTGTTGTTCTTATTGTTTGCATTGAATTTCTTTATTGTTTTCTTGTTTGTTTTCGACCTTTGCTTCCGCTGTCGCACAACATCCTCATTTGAGAGGATGTCAACAATTGCTTCATACACATCCCAATCTTTTCTTTTCCTGAAGTTTACAACCAATAAATTTCAAACTGTAATCGTTATTTTACTCTCAGAAATTGAATTCATTTTCAACCGCAACCAGTTTAAGTAATTAAAAATCCTGATACACAGCCGCTAAAGGTGTTACCAATGAGGCAATGAGCATACATGCAGCTTAACACAGAATAAGGAAATCACTACTTCCGTCCCATATCAATCTATACAATGAGAATTTGTAGTAAGGTGAAGGGGAGTGAAAAGAGGTTAAGGAATTACTTATAAATGAAAATGTATACAAGTCCATCCCAAAAATGAATACACATGATGCCAGAATTGTCAATGGAAATACTGCAGAGAAATAAGTCGCCATTGAGGGAACGTTTGGTTCGGAAAATAGAAACGGAGTGGAACGGAAACAAGTAAGAAGGGGGAAAGGAATAATTAAGCTATTACCTTTTCATTTGTTTGGTTTAACCATGGAAAGGGTATTTTTTAAGAGGAAAGTAAGAGTATTTGTCACCCCAAGTTTTTGAGAGGTAACAAATGAGGGGTAACCATTACCCTTAGGTAATGGTAATTGTCACCATGCCTTCAAACCAAACACACGGTAATGGTATCGGTTTAATCGAATCCGTTTCTAAACCAAAAAATACACTAACCAAACGCCCCCTGAGTATGTAACAGTTACCATGCACCAATAGGCTTCCATCCAGATCACAGTGCATTGAAGCCAACATCATGCATCTCAAGTTCTTTACCCCACAAGAAACCTATTTAAACTTCCCTAGTTGCAAAAAAAATCTATCTCTAGCTTTGACTACCATATCCTGTACATTTCAGCACACTGCATATCTCGAATAGATCAACTACATCAATTTGAGAATACACATGCGCCAGCAGGCAAAGCTGCCACATGTCAGCATTGTTAAGATTCGGCCTAATGAACAGAGCGAATTCTACAATTGCCTCACACCATATGTCAATAGAATGGTGTCAATTATTAACATACCATTTTAAGTCTAGATGTTAAAACTAATCAAGCACCAGACAAGTGACTGAATTAACATGCGACTCTTACGTACATATAGTTTAGGCCTATCATGCCAATATAGGGCAAACTCCAGTTTTAAAAAAGGAAATAAAAGATATGTATAGTAACAAAACAACAGAATTCCAATATCCTCCCAGAAAAGGGAAAGAAAATCTAAATCTAAACTCTTACCGAATGACACTTGATTTGCTGCCAAACAACTTAGCCAAATCTACTGCAGTAACGCCAGCTTTGCTGAAAAGGGACATGTCAATTATAATATTAAAGTTCACTACATTTGGACATGGACTAGGTATCTTGTTGATATTCATACATTAACATACCTAACAGGCATGTACTCAATTCCACGACGACCCTTCTTGCTTACTCTAATCTCCTTAGCCGATGTTACATTTTGGACTGCAATCTGCAAGCCATAATTGACACACACAGCAGGAAATGATATAATTTTCTTCTTTATTACAAGCATACGTATCACAAATAAATATGCTTAGAGATTTCAAACAATGTCAGCACCTCATAAAGTTGCTCCCTTATGGAAAAAGCAATAGCAGGCTGCAAAAAGAAACAATCAGTGATTCACGTTAAGGCATAGGGTCACTCAGAACATGATAACACACAAGCGAAAACAAGAAAATATACCAATACATGATATCTCACAAATTAGCAAGCTTTCAAACACCATTTAATAATTTTCATTATTTAATTCACTGATATCAGGTAAGAAGAGAGTCATAACTCATAAGCACATTGGATAGAGTCAATGAGTAAGAAGAATCGTCCCTCTCCAAGTGCCAAGTGGAAATTGAAGTGTGTTGGCTAGTCATCAAATGTTCAAAAAATTCATAATAGCAAGGTTTTACCTTGATTTGACTTTTCCAATTACCACTGCGTAATAAGGTCACATTACCAGTCTTCACATTTATTAGTAGTCTATTTGTAAAGAACCATCAAAGCCACTCTTCCAGTGTCACTTTCAAAGCAACCAAAAACAATTTCTGCTGTGATCTTATTTCCTAGTTTGTATTATTACTCACTTACCCTCCATCTTGACGTTTTTTAATTTGCTAGCGTTGCATGATATCAAAACAGCTAACGTAGAAATTTCAATGAGCAATATCAAGTTCGAGCATGGATGTAGAACAATCAAAGTGACAGCTCCACAATTCATGGGACCAATGCTTAGATGTAGAACATGTGGATAACTTAGTGAACAGTTTGAAATTGGCCATACTTCTTGCCCAGGAATTCTATATTTATGCTTAGCACCCAAGGGGCTTGTGCATGCATATCTGACATCTATCAGGTGAGCTTGATGTTCAAGCAAGATAGCTAACTAAGCTAAGATTTGAGCAAGATAAATGAATACTTCCTAGGGTTTCCTAATCTTGGCTAAATGGCAGGAGCAGAGACAGGAATTTTCCTGGAGGAAGATTCTCGGGCATTGCATTATCTGATGCATCAGCATGTAAGTTTCTTAGGAAACTGCAGATAGTCACGCCAGAGGAACTTCTTAAAATTTCTTTAAAAAAGGGATGTTAGTTATTTGCTTACTCCAACTTCAGGATCATCAATACCCATGTCAGCACAGAAGATCTTTGCAAAGTCTTCAGGATCACTCTCCATATTGTTCAAGTCCTGAAAATGACAATGTACCTTATTAATATGAGGTTCAATAACTAGCCATAAACTCTCATATAGAAAATATAATCTTACCCATAAAAACTGGTCTCTAATAAGAGTCTGATTTACTCGAAGATCTAGCTGCAAAAGGGTAACATACAATCACATCAACAACAAGAAGATTGGATGTTGCATCCAATTTTACAGAAACTACCACAAGAAAATCAATCATCAAACCTTGATGGGGACAATCTTCTCACCAACAATCATATCTTGGCCTTCATATGACCGAAATTCGGTCAGCTGTGACTGCAATAACCAAATGCCAGCAAGTAATAACAATATAGTTAAGTGCTTTTAGTTCAAAATTATAGTACACATTTCCCACATAATTTGCATTCTTCCAAGAAGCTGCGAGTCATTTTACAAGAGTGTTGAGGTTTTAGTCATACAGACTATACAAGTTTGAATAGGAAACACACATCTCCACAGGTAGTAGAAAAAAAGGAACATAATATTTCCATGGGGGCATAAAATAGAGCAAGGGTTGCTGTAGGTTAGCAACAGCTAGCAAAATTTTTTTTTTGTATCTATGAGCATGAAACTAGGTGATATTTATGTAGGGAAAATGGGCAATCCCTACTCAACAACATCCAGCACTTCCTTGAGTACAGCGTAAAGATAAGTTTTCAAGGGTTGCTTAGTCGTCACCCAGGAGCAGTGCACCACATTTCCAAGGTCTGGTGACAAATAAGCATGGGATTGGCACTACACCTCTTAGACCCCAAGTATGGTGATTATGCAAGGTTTGCTAGATCAACAGACAGTGATGGAGCACCGCATTAATCAAGTGTGGTGACAAATGAGCAATGGCTTTTAGGTTCTAAAAGAGCTCAAAGAAGAACTTTTGACCTAAAATCCAAATAGGATCTTGGCACATTAAAACCCTTACCAGAAAGTTAGTAAAGTTAGTGGAGGTGATGATGCGAAGAAAAATTAACAGTGTATCAGAGCCAAAGTAATTACACCTTAAGCGTTATAAATCATGATATGTAGAACAGAGTTGGCGTTATTATCTGGATCAACTACTTTCTTTAGCTTTGTTCTAATCAGTGCCTTCTCTGCCTCCACTTTTGAATAAGTTATGTTAAATAAGTTTGTTAACCTTCACTACGAACTTAGTCAACAGGAGTTGGAGGAAAGATTGACCCCACAAGGAGAAAAAACACATTTGTACCAATATATAAGAACAAACACGATGCACAAGATTGCTCAAACTACAAAGGTATAAAGCTTAAGTCGAGCCAAGAAATTGTGGGAGAGTGATAGATCGTTGATTAAGAAGTTTGAGTATTTGGAGAAACAGTTTGGATTTATGTCTGGGCGTTCAACCATTGATGCAGTTCATTTGATATGGATAATGATGGAATATTACACAGTGAAAAATAGGGATTGGCATATGATTTTCATTGATTTGGAGAAAGACTAGAAAGCTTATGACAAGGCGTCGAGAGAAGTGCTTTGGTGGGCAATAGCCAAGAAAGGTACTTCTAAAATCTATATCAACTTAATAAATGTTAGGAACTGTGGTAGAGTAACAAAGGATTCTCCAACTACTCTACTACGATTTAATTCCATCACGAGCCAGCATTATATCCTTTTCTCTTTGCAACTATTTGGATGAAGTAGCAAAGTTTGTCCATCAATTTTTCTAGAGGTAAATGTCTGTTGAAATCTCACAGTTTTAAATTGAGTTGGTGTTAAACATAGTACATGAAACGGCAATTTAACACAGCAAGGGAATCAAGGTGAATAGGTACTAACTTCGGACAGTAAGAGTTGTCCAACAGCAAGTTTTTGAAGTACTTTGGAGCGATTTTATTGTAGAATGGAGATATTGAACAAGATGTGAACCAAAGGATTTAATCCAAGTGGAGATCTGTAATAGAAATATTGTGACAAAAGCATACCCCTAGTGTAAAAGGGGAAATTCTACAGGAGACTATTAGAACAACGCTATACGGATCTGATTACAGGAAGGACAAAGATGAGAGTAGCGGAGATGGGGATGTTGAGATGGATCTGTGGTAACATCATAAGGGATAGAACTAGATATGATGATATTAAAAGAAATGTTGGAATTGCGGGCATTTAAAGCAAAATAAGTAAGAATTGATTACATTGGTTTAGGGATGTGAAACGAAGAAATGAATATCAAAAAAAGTTCTGGTAAGGTAGCAGAATGTTGGGATCATGAGAGTCTTAGAAGAGTTCTAGAAGGACTAAGATGAATTGGTTATAAGGAACTAATACTGATATGAAGAAATTGAATTAGAGGAGTGTATAGCAATTGAAAGAAGGGAATAGAAGGAGAGGATCATGGTTGAGGATCACTTGTTCACGTAGACAACCCCATCATTGGGATTAAAATTTTGATGTTGTTCTTAATATTTACCAAATCTCATGTGATTTTCCTTCACTGCAGCACACATAAATGCAACATATATGAACTTTAAGCAAAAGTATAGCGGGCAAGTACAATAGGATGTCAACACTAATAAAAAAAAGGGCTTGATCCCCCTAGTTTAGTCACTTACCATCAGATAAACTAGCATCAATTAGAACTTTAGAAGTAAGCAGGACTACATTTACCAAGGTTTTAAACAAAAGATATAGCCCCTCCATCCAGATTTATGTTCACATAGCTCCATACCCTCTAATTCCATTTTTGCTAACAGGTATATCTTAAATTCCAGCTGGTACAGTGGTGCTTACCTTCATCAACTCAGCATCCTAGACATTAGAAAAGTGAGCAAGGAAAAAGGTTTAATCCTAATTGGAATCCAGGTGCATAGATTGTCTGGCACCAAACCATGTTGATCCACGCCAGCCATAGAATAAAGTACATCAATTTTTTATCAGTCTTAATAGGCACATCTTAGAGAATAGACAGATACAGAGATATATACAATATTTTTGCTTGACACTTTTTCTGCTTATAACATCCCAAAATGTATAGTCAAACGCAATAAGTTGACTTTTTAGTACTAAACTCTTCACCTCCGGCAGTTTGATTCTGATAGTTTTTAAGCAACTTTCACTCTCATGGCCTAAAAGTTGCATCCTTAGTAACCCTGCTTCTATTTGTCTGGATATTATATTATTATCCCAGCAGAGTTGCTTTACTGCTACGTTGAACCACCACTAGCAAATTTTACCCTATCCCTTACTTAGCAATGCCACCCACTCACTAAGTTCACAGCCTTGGCAAGAAAACTGACAACTTTCATTGCTTCTTAAAGAGTGAAATATTTAAGTCCTCCCTATGTTTATCACAAAAGTGGTTATAACTTATGATATCCTTAATCATGCCCTTAATATGCTTCGTATTATGACACAAGACACTTCATAATTGTTTCATAGAGAAAAAAAAAGTAGAAAATGAAAAGAGGAATGATTACAAAAAAGGCCCCAAGGAATACATTAAGAGGTGAGGAATAGACAAAAGTGATTTGTAATATAGCACGATGCGTCATCTTATTAGTTCATGTTTAAGTTCTCTTTTGATAACAAAAAGAAAGAGAAAGAGAATTTTAAAAGGGTGCATGCATTTAGTAAACCTCCACTCACTTGAATTGACTGAGCAATCTGAGTTATAAATCCAGTTGGGAGCTTCAAGTCCTTTACGGTCTTTTTTGCAAACACTGCCACTTCTGAATCAGGATCTGCAAGTCAAATCAGCAAGTGGATGTGAACAGTACTTTGGAAAACACTTCCAGCATTAAAAACAGAGAAGTCTAGCAATAAAAATAACAATAACAAGAATATTGTCAAAATAATCTTAAGAAAATTTTGATTTTTACCACCTTCAAATAACGACTTTGTCGAATTTACCACCTCCAAAAAAAAAACATTTACTTTACCACCTCATAAAAAAATTTAACATCAGTTTTACCACCAATCACCTCCAACTAACGGATTCCGTCCAAAAATCCGTTAGTGGGGCCTACCTTGCACACGTGTCGCCATATTATTGGGTAAGTTTTAAAAAAAATAAAAACAAAAAAAATTTAAAAATCCCCATCAAGCAACCGGTGGTTGCTGCCACCGTCGGGACCCCCACCGCCGGACCGGCTACGACCAGCCCCACCACCTAACTGTTACGACCAGCCCCCACCACCTAATCGCTACCACGTCGGGACCCACAGCCACCGCACCGATTTCGACCTCAAAACCCTAGCCACCACCTAACAGCTACGACCAACCCCACCACCTAACCACTACCATCGCACCGCACACCATAGCCGTGCCAATTTCTACCCCTTTCCACCAATTTCCGACCTCAAAACCCTAGCCACCACCTAACAGCTACGACCAACCCCACCACCATCCAAACCCAGACCAGAAACCACCGCCACCCAGACGCGAAACCACCGCGACCCGAAACCACCACCACCCAGACGCGAAACCACCGCAATCCACCCCAGCCAACCTAACCCCAGACCAGAAACCACGCCACCAGACGCAAAACCATCGCCACCCGAAACCACCACCACCTAGACGCGAAACCCACACGAAATTCCGACCAACCGTGGTAGTTGATTTCGTTGCTGGTTGGTTGACATGGAAGATCGGGGAAGATGAAGAAGAAACGTCAAAAATGTGGGCCCTACTAACGGATTCATGGACGAAATTCGGTAGTTGGTAAAATCAAATTTTTGGATATTTTGGTGGTGGTAAAGTAAATCTTTTTTTTTTGGTGGAAAATTCAATTAAGTGGTTATTTGAAGGTGGTAAAAATCAAAATAAAGCTACAAATGTAATACCCCGTATTTTGAGATTTCACTAATTATTTCAATATTTTAGGTAATTATTTATACTAGTTAATTATTTTACCTAAGGGTATTTTTAAATTTACTTTTAAAAAGATACTTTGGCGCAAATGTAATAATTTTAAAGTATCAATTTTCGGATTTTCATTTATAATTTTCAGGTTTTGATTAAATATTGCTCCATATCATTATTTTAGGATTATTATTTATTAAAAAAATTATTTAGTCTGGTTGGTTAGGCCTTGTTTAATAGTTTTAATCTAACTTTCTTTAATATTCATCCTTCAAACTTATAATTACATCATTGACTGCCAAACCTTAGAAACCCTAAAATCCTAAAACCAAGCTTACAAACTTAGTCATGAAATCCTAATTAATTAGGAATCTAAGAATCTATAAAACCTCAAACAAATTTCTTTTTAAAATCCTAATATTATCCCAAGCCTACCATCTAAACTATAAATATCCCCTCCAAACATCTCATAATCTTCACACAAAATTCAGTTGTAGAAGGTCTGATTAGCTATGGTTTGATATAGGTTAACCTTTCTAAAGCCTGATTAATACTTTAATTAATTAAAATGAATTTATATATCGAGAGTTTGTATGTAATTAGTGACGTTATCATTTTCGCTTACTCACATTCCATTTTGTTTTGGCTTCTCCCTACTCATCGTTATGATGAGTAAGTAGGGGATGATTACTCGACATGATCTAATTGCTTTATCGGAGACAAAAGGCGAAATTTCCCTAGCCTAGATTTTATGTTTACAAAATCTAGGATGAGTACTCTTTTGGATATGTTTTGGAATATTATCATTATTATTAATAAATAAAAGTTAAGTTATTTTTTTCTTCCACTAAGAGTCTTGAATTTCGGAAAGCCTTACGTAACCACGTGGCCGTAATACCTGAAATTTCTCTCTTAAGCATATTTATAATTATTATTCTAACTTTTAAAGAGAGGAATTTAGGGGGTTATAAGTTTACAACAGATGTTCACATCCTGGATCTAAATCCAACAACGAAACAATCTAGCACAATCAAGAATCTGATTCCATAAAAGGATCAAAGAACAAACTTTCATTGGTTCCTTCTGCTGTCCCACCATGTTTAACAGAAATTATACCAAGTTCTATACGGAGGTGGACAGATTGTCTACACAGATTAACAGATGAAGATTGCAACTCTGCCAATGTAATCAAATCAAAGAAAATACTTGACAGTCTCCTGTAATTCGAAGCTGAGACTACAAAATGTATAACAAAAAGAAAAATTAAAGGAAAAAATGAAAATCTAGTAAACCTTAGCCTTTGATTAAGTCGATTATCATGCTCTAAACCTGCCTATTTCATCTCTTATAGACAAATGGAGAAACATCAACAGCACATATCAGGGACACAAAAGGTTTCTGTTTGGCAGCAATAAGAAGGGACGGAAATAAGATATAAGACATTTAACAAACAGCTTGAACACTAGAGGGTAACCACTCCACTCAACCATCAATGAAACCCAATGGTAAGTTCCACTAGCGAAACAAATCAACAAGTAATAACAAAGATGCACTTTTCAAATTCACATAAACACGTGCTTTAACATCATCATCATCAATTAATAGTCAAAAGAGACAATCACTTTATCACTCACAAAATTTGACATTATTATCTTAACTCTTCGCAGAGATCAAGGGTAATATTAGTGTGTGTTTGTCTTCTCCTGCACATAGTAACAACTTCAACTCTTGGACCCCAAAAATTTAGCACAGAAAAAGAAGAGTTGAATTCCCAACAAACTTTTAGGAGTGTAACTGGAAAAAACTAAGAGACTGTATCCTTTCTATGGAAATACTCTTAACTTGGGGCCTCTATATCCCAGAGGCTTGGTGCTTGGTGCTTGATGCTATATCTCCTAAATTATCGTCATTAAACAGAAATATTTGTAGGGAAATGTTATAACCAGTAGAAGGCTCCTTTTTATATACAAACTATTTCCAGACTTTGAACTCAACTCATGTCCTTTTTTGCTGAGTTTTGAAGATCACACAATACTGGATTTGATTCAAGTAACCTGGTATAAGGACCAACACTAGGAGACAAAATTAATTAAAGAAGCGCTAGGTAGTGTGGCAACATAGGCTTGAATACTGATCTCTTGAGCAGTAAAGGACAAACAATATTAATATTAGGTTATTTTTGTAGTTTTGCTAAGGGTAGTAGTATAGCAGTAGTAGGAAGGAAATTTGTATTGAGAAAATTCACTATTAAAAGTTAGGTAAATATAAAACATAAGCATTCACCTTCCAGCCTGCGTTCCCACAGATAATTTAACTAAAGAAGAGAAGGAAAGGATCTAGCTACCTATAAATCTCCATATAAGAATTCTATGGCTGTCATCTCATGGTCAGAAAATGGAAGAAAAGAAGCAGTAGAAATAAGATGACAAGAGGGTCTAAGGATCTCCTAGATCTATTCAGCCATTAGTGGCTCATGATCACATACAATAAACCATACTAGAGAAACAGATTTCAGCAAAAGACATAGTGAATGTGCCCTTTCCTCCCTCGAGAATAATGCTTTCTTCATAATTATGTACTAGAACAATCGCATAACCTAATATCTTTAGTAGGAACCTGGCAAAGTAGAAATTCAAATGCACGAAATTATCACCCCTATGCTACCATAACAACTATGTAAAAGATCATTTATTAGACTAACTGATCTGCTTCAAAATAAACATACATAGTTTAGTACTTTAGTGATATAAGTAGCAGTTGATTTAAATCATAGTGATAAAAGCTAAAACTTTTCAGACATTCAGGGTTTAATCAGTTTTTGACTACTCCTAATAATGAGTGTAATCTTGAATCACTCTTTAGTAGCCATGTTTGTTATAATACTACTGCAAATGCTTCAAATATACTAAGATCTCCAAGAATCCAATCTTCATATATGAGCCAGGTATAAACATTGGCTGAGTTTACTCTTCAGTCCTCAATTTTTCTTGGAATAGCAAAAGTCACTAAATATGATCCTCATATCACTAACAACATAATACATTCTTTACCTAAAAGTTATGTGTATAACATCACCAAAGGAACATTCTTTACCTAAAAGTTATGTGGAGCATAAGCATTAGTCACCAGAATATTAATAGTACATCCATTTAAACCCCTTCAAAGAAACAAACCAAGCCTCCTTAGATATGGTCATATGGACTTTAAACATAATGTAATTCCAATAAGCCGCCTCACTCAAATCCACATAATTTCTGGTCTAAATAGCACTATTGGAAACTCGCATTCAATTATCTCCTATAAGATCATTGCTGCAAATCATTGTTTCTTCAACAAAGGAAATGATATCCCAACACTTCAGTGTTATTAACCATTCTTTTTCAAAATTACCATCAAAATAAACCTACTCATCAAAGATCACTACCTAGCGTACCACTTAATACCTATTCTCTCCTTTTCCATTTAACCATCAAAAGACTGTATTTTTCTCACATGGCAATAAGAGCATGGGTATCCTTACTATCTCCTACAGCTTACTCTCTATAGCACGAGATTTAAAGTCTTGTCATCCTCACCAAAAAAAAGAGGCTCATACTAGTAGCATTAATACCTTTCTAATTGCTTTCCTTGTCTTCTACATGTGGCTTGCTGTACAAAAACCCTTGATCACAGCAATAACCCAACTCTTAATCATACCTTAGTCATTTACACCCAACTGTCTCAAGTTTACTTATACAGTTCACCCAAACCGCGAAACTATAACCCTTTTCCCGTCGTCTACTTGCCTAAAAGCCACCAACGGCCTTCATATTTTTCCAATTGACAACAACAACAACAACAACCACCACCACCACCACACCCCCAACCCCCCCACCCCCCAAAAAAAAAAAGAAAAAAAAAAAAACATTGTTAAATTGACAATCAAATTGAAAATATGGGAATTTCTTACAACATCAAATCAATGACAAAAATAAGTAATTGGTACAGAATTATACAAAGGGGCAACAATAATTTGATTAAAACAAGAAAATTAAAGAAGAAGAATAACCTGAAGGGTTCCAGGTAAAGGCATCTTTATATCGCTGACCATCAATTTCAATGTCCAATCGAATTGGAACTAAATTTTCTGCAGTTGGCCTGTAATCATTGAACAAAAGGGTCACAAAAACATCAAATTTTAGTTCCAGAAGCACAATCAAATTATCAAAGAAAATTATAATTTATTTTCAACAAAGAAAATTAAAAAAAGTATAATTATAAGGGTAAAATTGAAAGGGAATAATTGAGGGTTTACATTCTGAATTTAACTGGGTGGCGGTATGCTGGTGCTAGTTGGGACTTCATGCTTCTTCTCGCAACTTTGTTTGCTGATGATTTTGGCGCTTTTTCTTTTTTTTTTTTTTTTTTGATGTTTTTCTTTTGGATCCAAAAAAAAAGTATTTTGAGGAAGTGGTTTAAGGGGTTAAGAGAAAAGGGTCCTTAACTCTGGGGGTGTCCATTCGGACTTTGGATTGGACTGAAGCCTAGTCCAATCCAATCCGAAATATATTTGGACTCTTATTTTATAGTCCAAATCCAAATCCAAAGTTTTTAAAATCCAATTCGATCCAATCCAAATTAAAATTTCATAGTCCGAATCCAGTCCGATCCAATCCAAATTAAAATGATTTAGGGTTTCTAGTATATAGTAATGAGGGGATTTGGCAGATTTGGGCTATTGGGTTTGGTCTTACTAATGTTATATGGGTTGAAGTTTATTATGATTATTATTATTATTTTAATTATTTTTTTATATATTAATATATATATATATATATATATATATTCGGACTATTTGGACTTGATTGGACTTTTTGGACTTAAAAAATTTAAGTCCAAATCCAATCCGAAAATCCGAATTTCAAAATTTTTGAGTCCAAATCCAATCCAAATTTAAAAAAGTCCAATCCAAATAGCTTACTTGGACTGGATTGGATTGGATTTCGGACTGGAGTCCGAATAATAGACACCCCTACTTAACTCCTAACAATAAATAATTTTTTAATTTTTTTTGGAGAAATGATTCTTTATGAAAAATATTTTTCAAGGGAAAACGTAAATCTAATATATATATATATATAGAGAGAGAGAGAGAGGGGAGAGTTTTTTTCTTGAGGTTTAAGCGTAGGATTTAATTTTCTTAGCGCACCATGTAGGATTATAAATTTAAGTTATAGTCATTTAAAAAAGATATTATTAATTTTATTTTGAATTAATTAAATCAAATGTCATGCAAGCAAAATTGTAGAATCATATTTTTTAAGTTTAAATTAATTAAATATAAAATATTATCTTTTGAAATTAGGAATTTTATATAAATATGTAACAAATTTTAGCACATAAATACAAAAAAATATATATTTTTTTAAAAAAATTCAAACAAACCATGCATCACACGGGCTTCATCTAGTGTAATTAGTTTCTTGTGGGTAGAGTTGTTGTCCTTGTTGATATATCTTGTGTTGGCATTCAATGTCATAACAAACTTAGCTTTATTACCAAGAAAAATAGTGTTAAGTAATTGGTGTGTTAGAATAGTAAATAGGTGGTACGAATTTTCATTGTTTGATGTTATGATTGCATTGTTTAGCGAAACTTTGATTTAACTTTTACAACATAGAAGCTTGGCCAAATACTATCAAAACGATTAAAGCAACATCCGTGATAGCAATAACTAATTCGTGATGAGGATTAACTCCATTAGTAACCAACATGAACCTTAAAGACTATGCATCAGTCTCAATTTCAATCTTTGATATTACCAAGTTCCTTGGCAATTGACAAACCTTCATTATTTATAGCACATTTTATCATCTTATATTAATCAATAATTAACACCAAATCAATCTTTAACACCGAGGATGAGAGTGGGAATTTAATGAGTAAGAACTCAATCAGTGATCAAGTGTAAGTAGAACTCGTTGGCTCTATTGTAGATATCCCATGTCTCTGAAATCAATAATCAAATGCACCCTATGCTCATACCCACGTACTACCTTTATTTTCTAGTCCAATCCAAAGATTTATGGTAAACTACACATGCCATATAAGAAGATAAAAAAAAAAAAAAAAAAAAAAAAAAAAAAAAAAAAAGGTATGAAATACCCTAGGTTTTACTTTTGCAGGTTTAAGTAGTACAAAAGAGCTAACATTGATCACCTAAATTAAGCATCCACGAAGGAAATGATCAACCCCCCTACATGTACTTGTCAGAAGGTCATGATATTTATATCCCCCTTTCCCCGAACTTGTTAGCAGGTCATGATATTTGTATTTATATCTCCCCGGTTATTTAATTACTTATGTAAGGGTGGTTAAGAGAGTAAAGCTTAACAACTAACCCCCACCCCCCACCCCCCCAATAATTGTAATCGGGTTTTCTACCTTGTCAAAGTATAAGAAATTAAATAACTACTAACATGTACTGAATAAGTATTATATAATTCAAATATTCATAATATAAATCTATTATATGTGTTCGTATTTTCATATGTCACTATATCTGGCCCAAAAGTAAACATTTCCTTAAACTCCCTCTAAACAAAAAAAGAAATTTCACTGGTGAAGACCAATTATTACCTACACTAAACAAAACGTCCCTTACATATTCTTTCTATTTAATATTCTTATTGTTTTCTTCATAATACTAATATGAATGCATATATATTGGACCATAACTTCCAAACAAGCAAGCCTTATACTATCATTTGCAGCAAAGTCACAACTATAGAATAGATGTAAAGATTTAAAATGTTTGAACTAGGCTTTACTTTGGCAGCTGAGTTTGGTGAAAATTTATACTGATTCTTTCAATCTCGTAAGTATATATTACAAGAGGAAACATTTAAGAACATCCAACTTACTTGGACGATTGAGGAAATTTTGCAACAAAGGATGACCTTTTCATTTATGTAATACGTAGTATTAGCAAAGTTTAAAGGATAGTTTGTAATTGTTTTATTTTGTTTATTAGTTTTCTTGATGTTAAAAAATAAAAATAATAATAAAAAAAGATTTGTATATCTTAATAAAAAGGAAAATTTGTTAAAATAATCCCAATTTTGACCGGTTCGCTCAAATTAATCCCAACTTTGGATTATTTTTAAATAATCCCAACTTCAAGGAGTATTCGCTCGAAATGAACCAAAATACTTGTAACCGGTTAAGCAGGTAATTTTTTTTATTTATGTGACACTTGTCACCCTGTGAGTGGATGAAAATAAAAAAAAAACTAAATAAATAAAAATAATAATCATAAAAAAACCAAAAAAAATTAAAAAAAAATACCAGAAAAATTAAAAATAAAAATAAAATAGAATTTTTTTTTTGTTAAAAATATGGAGTACTAGAAAAATAAAAATAAAAATAAAAAAAAAAAGAAAAAGAAAAAGAATTCCCAAACCACCAGCCCCCCACCCCTCACCCCCGCCGGTTTCCTCCTCCCCTTGTCAGTGCCGGCCACCCTCACCCACCTTCCACCTCTACCCATTATCCCCAACCAAAAGCCCTACCCCTACTCCCACACTCAGCCCCACCCCGACTCCTACACTCAGACCCATCTCGACTCCTACCTCAAACCACCCCCCAAAACCAGCCCCTTCCTCGAAATTACCCCTTCCCCCGTTTTCCGACACCCCTAACCCTAATTTCGCACCCATAAACCCGTTAAACCCAAAAAATCCAAAACCCTAAAAAATGGGTTTTCTAGGTTACCGGGTTTTTCGGTGGGGAATTAAAATTGGGGGGCCAGAAAAAAAAAAGGGAAGGGGCAATTCCGAGCAGGGGGTCGATTTTTTGGGGGTGGTTTGGGGTGGGGATGAGGGTAGGAGTCAGTGGGATTCATGTTAAGGGTGGCAGTCGTGGTGGGATACAGGTAAGGATGGAATCGGGCAGGGTGGAGGGAGTGTGAGTAGAGTTCGCCGGCTGATAGGGGCGGCAGAAACTCCAAACAGGGCTAGCCGCCGGCAGGGGGAAGGGAAGGGAGGTTGCTGGTGGGTAAGGGGGAGTTGGGTTTTTTTATTTTATTTTATAAAATAATTTAAATTTTATAGTTTTTTTTTCTATTTTTTTTATTTTTCTGGTTTTTTATTTTCTGTTTTTTTTTTTAATAATTCTGGATTATTTTTATTTTTTTGGTTTTTTTATTTTTTATTTTAATTTTTTCAAGTATTTTTATTAATTTTTTCTAGTTTTTTTTTTTATTTTTCAGTTTTTTTTATATTTTTTTCAGCGAATCAGGGACTAACACTTGTCCCTTAACCTGGTATAATAGGTTACATGACCGGTTAGGTCCATTTTGAGCGAATACCCCCTAAAGTTGGGATTATTTAAAAATAATCTAAAGTTGGGATTATTTTGAGCGAACCGGCCAAAGTTGGGATTATTTTTAACAATTTATCCTAATAAAAAAGGGGGAAATTCTCTTTAGTGAACGTCAATTTTATAAAATTTTGTTAGTTGAGACGATTAATACAAGAGGGGGGTGAATTGTATAGAGTTCCTAATGACTACTTTTTGCGGATAAATAAACAATGCACATAGGAACTTGCTAAAACACACAGATTTTACGAGGAAACCTTCCAGGGCCCAACTGGAAGTAAAACCTCGACCCTACCTTAGGGATTTCAAACAAAAATCACTTCACTATAATAGGGCAAACACCAAGTTACAACCTATTAGACACGGACCTTTATTTCACAAGTTCCTCACTGGACTTGCTACTTGATAGGACCCTATCCTACCCAATTTAAGCACCACACTTAAATTCACACGTACCACCAAAGCACTACCCGTACTGCCAAAGTACTAAAACACATGTACCACCTAAGTACAAGACTCACAACTTCACCTAGAAGTCAACACAAAACTGTATATAAATCAAACTATAAATTCACCCAAATAACCCAACCAATACAAATATATGACACCTAGTATGATAGGTAAGCAATGCACGAAATCCGAAACTAATATGACAAGTTAGAAGCTTGGTAAACTTACTCAATTATAGCACTGTGATTTCTCCACGCATAAAGTCACAAAAACCTAAAACCATTTTGCTCTCTACTATTTATACAAGTAACACTCGTATAGAAAGTAGGTTTTCTAAAAAATAAATAAGTTAACTTAACTTATCTTTAAACACGGTTTTATGTAAATCAAGTAGGATGAAATCTTTTCCGAAAATAAGATTAAAAAGATATTTATTAAGGAGACTTATCTTTTTAACAAACCGATTTTAAAGAAAATAATCTTTTTAGAAAATCTTTTCCTAAAATCTATATTTTATTATTTTCCATATTTATTTTATTTACCAAGTAAAATTATTATGTTTCTAATAAATTTCGTGCACTAACCTACTTAACATATTAACAATAAAATTTATAAGATAAAAACCTTAGCTAAATATTATTGTTGCGCCGCACTTCGATCAGGTAGATTACTTGGGCTCCAAGCATATTAAGTTCCACCAAAGAACTTAAACATGCTTTTCTT